TAAATGCAGAATTGCATTGAGGAACAACACTTTTTTAGACTTCCATTGGAAAGTTCTCCCTATTCTTTTCACCACAGCACACAAGTTATGCAACACTCTGTTAATATTCAGTTCATATATTCCGGGCAACTTCATAAATGCACAGCTCATCTGGAGTTTCTCCACTGTTTCCAAAAGGGTTTTGCTTCCTCGTGTTATCTCCGGAGCTGAGATACAGGGTGGGGTGGCGTGGGGTGGAGGGGGGGTAATGACATCCTGTCAAAACATTTTCAAAAACTCTCCCACCCGTTTTGCAGAAGCCAGCCCGCCAGCAGGTGACCACAAAGCTTGTGCTGCAGTTCTGCAGGGCTGACCTCCACGATAAAGACGCAGGCCCGCCCAGCACTGGCACGGATTGCTTTGATTCTCCCTGTGCCTTCGCAAGGGAAACTGCAGACATGGTCTTTCCTTGTGTCTTCTCGTGTGTATGCGTGTTTTTTTTTATTTGTTGATGGGTCGGCCTAGCAACCCAGAGACAAGACAAAGACGGACAGTGAGAGAGAGAGAGAGAGAGAGAGAGAGAGAGAGAGAACCCCAGTGTGTGGTCATCGTGCTGGGTGTGCCTTTTGCTGCAAAGGTTTATCTCCCTAGTCAGGGCGGAAAAAAAGGCAAAAAAAAAAAGGAATTCATGACAAGGCAGGTCGTAAAAAAAAGTAAAAACAAATGTCAAAGCTGAGGCCGTATGGAACAGGGGTAAGAGGACAGCTTTCTTATCTGCCCCAGAGCTGAAATCTCCACTATTGGTTGATCATAGCGGGTGAACAATCCCAGAATCCCCTGGGTGGGGGGCGAGGAACCAGGAACGCTGGGGCACGTGGGACATCGGCATGCCAACCCATGGGCTCTGCCAGGTTTCGAGCACGAGCGCTCACCTTCCTCCACACGCCCTCTGGGAGCGACACGGGTCACCACCACCTCCCCAGCACACCTCTTCTGCACCAGGTCATAGATTCCAGTCCCACCCGGCAGCGAGACGAAGTTAAGATTCCACTTTGGCGTCGCTGGTAAATCTGACGACCGAATTACACTATCCTCTTGCAAAATCTTTTCATGCAACAACATCCTCAAGATTACACAAAACAGCACACTGTGTGACTGCTACAACATTCCTAGATAATAAATCCCTTTTACCTGTGCCTCCCATTCCAGGGAAGAGGAGATAACTACCTTAAGATCCTATCACACGTAAAAAACCTGGGATTTTGATTCTTTCACTGTCGGCCGATAGCAGCGACACACCAGAACACCGCATGACACTTATCTGTGCCACGTTTGCATCCCACATTTCTGTTGCTTGTTGTTTCTGTTGAGGAGAAAAAAACAAACTTCCAGGGCAACTATTATCCATCCTCTGCTTCCCATGGATGCTTTCGCTTGTGATAAAAGAGAAAACAAAGCATACCCCGAGGAAAATCGGCATTCCAGACTCTCAGCGAGGCTCGCTCTCTGATTCGCTGCGTTTCCCCGATGACTCGAGTTTCCCCGGCTCTCAGCAGTTACGGCTTATCATCTTATCTTCCCAGAACTCCACAAAACACTTCCTTCATGTGGATCCACAGCAACCCCCCAGGACGTGTTAATTTAAACTGACCTCACTGGCTCGAAAAGTCCGCAGCCTTATCTCTGCCCAATTTCCCAACGGCAGAAACTCCTCCGCCCAGCCACCCCGGACTCTCTGTAACAGGAACACCAGCTCCTCGAGCAAAGAAGTGCACAAAATTCTGCGAAAAACCCCACTTCTCTCAAACGGTTATACAGTGCCTGTTACAGGCAAGGGCCTCTCTTTGAAAGACCCCCCCAGCCTCCCCCAGTTTAAACTCTGAACCTTACGGATGACTAAGAGGTCGCCTCGTGTCGCCCCTATTGGCACGTGCCTAGATCTTTCAGATCACGCTCTTTTGCAATCAGAGCAAGTCGAGCGCACTAAATACATTAAGAACCTAAGCTTTTTATTATGTCTCACACCCATGGTGTTTCTCAAAGGCAGAGGCGATGTTAGCCACTCCTGCTCCAAGGAAACGAAAGCCCGTCCTCCTTTTACTGGTTAGCATGGCTTAGATTTCGCACTGCGCAGCATAAACCTTATGCATCTGCATTGCTATAATGAGTAAGTGAGGGAAATGGCACAAACCCACATACTGTACAACCCAAGACAATGTCCTATAAGAAATATCGAAAGCTTGGTGTCTTTCTGCAAACTTAAGAGTCTTCTGACGGGTTTTTTGGACACTGACAGCGGCCGCGAACCTATGATTTTCCCATTTTTAATTCCACGGGCTGTGCTGGTTTTGTCTTAGGTAGGAAAAAGAGCCTGCAACCCCCCCTGTTCCTCCGGGTTTGTACGTGCGCGCCACGCCAGTTCAAACTGAAATCAAAACTGAAACAAAGAAAACGACTGGCCTCTTGCGGTCTTGCTCTGCTCCGCGGGTCGCTGGGTTTGCTTTGACACCGCTGCATGACTGAGACACTCCAGGAACTTAAAAAGGTGAGAGAGGGAGAGAGGGAGGCGGAGGCGGAGGCAGAAAGGCATTTGTGAAAATGCACACCGTGCCTGAGAATGGAAAAAAAAAAAGGGCCAGTTTCCAGGATCCTGAATCACTTGGTAATTATTTTTAACACAGATCTCCAAAACACCGCCTGGCAGAGGATTGTTTTCCTGCTTCATTCAGCAGAAACTTTTAGTGTTTTTCCATTTTTTTTATTTTTTACAGCCACTGGAAAGACAGTCACTTTGCCCTGAGCATGAGACTGACAGCTCATAAAACATTTAAAGCTAACCCCAGCTTCAAGGAACTAGACTCACCCTGCCCGAAGTATATCACAGCTGAAGACGTAAAACTGTATGAGCAAAAACACTGGCCATTTCCCATCAACCCCTTCATAACAACCTCAAACAAATAGTTCTGTCCCTAAAACTGCAGTTCTATTTTCACTGTTTCACCAGTTAGGTTCTTAGTGACATTAACAGAACTGATTTTCTTTATAATGCAAAATAGCATTTAAACATCTAGGCACTCATCTAGGAACAACACCAGTGACCAATAACAGATTACGTACCTACCAGAGTCTACCCTGTGAATGTTGAAGTTATTTGTGAAATAAAGGATTGCTCTCAGGCAGACGGGGCTCAGCTCTGCTTAGCCCGGATCACTGGAACTGGGAGGAACCCACCACACCAGACAAGCCCACTCTATACCAGAGTCTCCCATTCTGTCCCACTGACCAAAGCTCTCCCTTGCAGCTGTCCCAAGGAATGGCTTGACAGCTAACCCATACATCCTGTTATTCATCCATCCATTTACTAATCACTTTATCCAATGTAAGGTTGCAGGGCAGCCAGAGCCTAGCGGGTTTCAGTGCTTCATCCCGGCAAGCAGGGGGTAAATTCTGGATGGGACACCAGACCAACACTCGTATCAGGGCCGGTTTTACCCAGAAGCCCTTTAACCTACCACTATGTCTCTGAGCTGTGGAAGAACACCTGTGAGAATGTGGGGAGAACATGCAAACTCCACACAGACAGCAAAGCCCACCACTTGTGCCATCATACATCTTTATCCTTCATCTCCTATCAGCCAGCTTTTAACTCCTTAACCCAACTACTCTTGTTATTCTCAAATGTGTTTCTCTTGTTAGCTGCTGTTTAGAACATGACTATAAAGCTCTTGTTTCCAACGCACCAGTGAACAGTGAATGAGGGCAAGTTACAACAACTACAGTCGTCACGTCTGGGGACTTGGGGTGGGTTGAAACGTTTTAGATGTGAGCACAAAGGTCCTTAGGCAGGAAGCCCTCTTCACAGTGCAGTGCTACGGTGCACGCAGGGCTTGCAGACTGGGGTCCGAAGAGAACCATCGCAGCCCCCTCTCCCTGCACACGCCGAGCGACCCGTCCCGCCGACCGCGATCGCTTTCCAAACTGCGTGCCGGCATCCTTGTAAAACTCAGCCGCTCCTGGCTCTCAGCCCTTCGCCATCCCATGATTACAGCTTTTAGAAATCTGCCGACGCCACCTATAGTTTATAAAACCACTTTCTTTTTCTCTTTTTCTTCCCCTCCCCTCTCTCTCTCTCTCTCAAGAGGTTTTCCTGGCACTGCCACAAAAGACTTGAGGTCACTGAATCGACACCGGAGCTCTAAACTGTTAACGCCCATGCCTGAAAAGAGTGTGAGCTACTGATTAAGATCAGCAGCTGAAGCAGAAAGAGCATAACGCTATTTGTAGAAATTTTAGTGAAAATAATATAATAGGACTATGCCACTTAAAGGTTCAGAACCTAGGGACAAATTTCACAGGCTACAGCCAAGTGTTTAAGCTAATCACATGGCTTTTCTTTAAGGGCCTTTAAAGACTGAAGCTAACCCCTGTAGCAAAAACAGTCACCTAAATGTTACATTAGCATTAGGTCATCTTCCAAACTAATAGGCAAACTTGAGAAGCTTCATAATTTTCCAATGCATGGTACAGCAAGCCTGCAGATCCCTTCCAAAAGGCACCACACTGGCATCTTGTGGGCAAAGACAGTACTGCACTTTGTATGCTGGATCCCAGAGTTCACCACACATCAGCTAGTGTCCTGAAATTGGTCTGGAACAGATGCCAACTGCTGTGCAGGCTAGTATGCTCCCACGAATGTGTAATTTGCCCCTCTGCTCACAAGTGCAGGCACTGATGAGGGTGACTGAACAGGTGGATAAGACACGCAAAGTTTCACTCATAATTGCGTCCATGCAAAGCAACATGAGTAAAATCTACAAACGTTTGCCTGGTTAGTACTTGTACAGTCTCTTTCAAAGAAAAGAACAAACCCGAACTATTACAGCTCTATAAGTTCAGTTAGCATCAAGCAAGGAATTCACAGCATGGACAGTAAACCTACATTTTAAAGCACTGTTACAGTTCTCTACAGTGAGGGGTGGTTTGTATTGAAGACTAAGAGGGGAGAAAAAAATACACCAGTAGATTATTCCAAATAAATTTATTGGTATTAACCTTATGCACTGTACAAAGCAAAGTTGTTTGACATGACCGGGCAGGATATCAGGACTGAGATGGGTTGTTAAGTCCACTTTTACATCAATACAACAGAGTTCCTAAAACAAAGAAATACAACCACAGATCAGTGAACTGTTAACCAGATTTTATAACGTGTTTCAATCACTCAAGGAGCTCGAAGTATCATGCAATTTTGACAGAATAATACTGTAAGAAGTATTCTGTAAACTAGTCTATTGGACGGTGCGGTGTCTCTGTGGCTCAGGATCTGCGCCTGTGGCTGGAAGGTTGCCGGTTCAAATCCCGCGGCCGGCAGAGGAATTCTACTCCGTTGGGCCCCTGAGCAAGGCCCTTAACCCCAACTGCTCCAGGGGCACTGTACAATAGTTGACCCTGCGCTCTGACCCCCAGCTTCTCTCCCCGTCTGTGTGTCTCATGGAGAGCAAGCTGGGGTATGCAAAAAGACAAATTCCTAATGCAAGAAATTATATAGGGCCAATAAAGTGATCTGATTTTGTAAATGAGCCCATGCTAACAGAAGGAAAATCTTTGAGTTGGGGGGGGGAACGACAAAAAAACCTACAGACCGCTCATTCGGGCAACAAAAAACACTTAAGTGGGTTACACAGGCGGGCTCTTTGCCCGAGAACTTTGACGTCTTGAAAGATTCAGAGTGGACTAAAAAAAACGAGCGATGCTTCGGCATCGTCGTGCTTTAAAAAAATTACCCACAAGCCATCGGCCCATGGCTGCCCTGGCCCCTGTCACTGTAATGGCAGCGGGTTGTTCTCCCAGGGACGCAGAACCGTGACATACGTTACCCCGTGACCGGCAGCTACTCCAGGGCCTTCACGATGGCCTCGTTGGCCTCTATGGTGATCTGGATCTCCGCCCGCGCCGCCTCGTCAGAGGTGCCCAGCAGCTCGGACTGCGCCTTCTCCAGGTTGGCCTTGGCAGCCTGAGACAGCGAGAGAGAGAGAGCGACATAAAGACGGATTCCAGTAGGAATGCCTTTAAGGGCAGGTGTCGGTCCGTGCTCCGTCATTCCTGCTCCAGTTACCCAGCGATTCCTTCAGAGACAAGAAGCCCGGCCCCGCCGAGCTCGACTGGCGTGGGTCATACAAACAAAGCTCTTGGATGCGAGTTTGTGGGAGAGAGAGGGAGGGCGGGCAGGTGGTGGCGGAGGGAGAGTGGCAGGGGGTTGCAGCCAATCCGGACACGTGCTGCTCCTCGAGCAGTGGCTGGAGCAGCTGGATCTTGGGGCTCCAGCGAGAAGGAAAGGACCTGGTGTGGAGGCGAGCTGGTTCCCTTAAATCTGATGGGGCTGCAACCAGGACACCGGTGCAGAGAAACAAAGGCACCAATCTTTGAAGAACACCTGTGGGGGAGTTTGGGGGACACCTGAGCTGCAGTATTCGGACAGTGAAGACTGCATGCACCATAAGAAAGATCGGCTTATGAGTGTAGGTTCTGGGTCATTTGAAAAAGCTCCGGATTCCGGCTGTCGTTTTCATCTAGGACACAATGACAGTGGTCTACAACACCAGACTGCCGCCAGGAATGCTGTGATTGTGCCACGTGATGTAGGACGTAACAAACACAAAAATGACAAAGGATTAACGCAAAATTCTTTTGCTATTGTCTTTTTAATGTTAGCATATGGGATGCAAAGGGCATTGGAAAATGTAGGCTGAAAGTGATTGGGAAAACAGATGTGGAAATGGGGGCCTTCTGTGTGGAGTTTGCATGCTCAGTTCCATGTCTGCGTGGGATTTCACAAGGTGCTCTGGTTTCCCCACCCTCCTGAAACAGCGCTGGATGGGTTAACTGGCATCTTTAAATTGTCCCTGTGCGCCTGAATACGCATGCCCTGTGATGGACTGGCATCCCTGAGTGCCAAGGATTGCCGCCGGAATGCCTTGACTATTAAACCCGGAATAAGAGGCTTTGCTAACAGGTAGATGAGTGGAAAAAAGCCCAGAGGCTCTCTCAGATCTCTGAAATCTAAGCAAGACCACAAAAAGCTCCCATCTAAGAGATCTATTATCTGCAGTGCAGATAATGGGAGTAGAAATGCCAGGAGTTACTGGGAATGAAAGGTCTTCCATCAGGGGATTTAATGCTTCTGCTGTTCATCCACAGGGAATGACCTTTAATTCCTTATTAATTGCTTGGGCTCTAGAGTACGGTAACCAGAAACATAAGACGCCATCTTTTAAATATACAAAGGGTATGACAACAGTGACACAATGTTTGCATTTCTGAGGGCGTGTTGTGCAGCGATACTCCTATAAGACAGGATTGCCAAGCATCCAATGGACAGAGAGAAAAGGAAGCTCAAAACGCTCCCATAACTTTCCTTAGTTCAAATTTCATATTGAAATCACAGTATTCTGTCACTGACTTTCCCCTAAAAACAGGTTAAATGTTCAGAACTGGTAATGATCAGACTCGGGGTTCTGCCCTTATCCATTGGCTACTTTCACACAACCCTCTATGTCCCTTGATAAAACACCAGAGGAAACTATGTGGCATCACTTCACATGATGGCAGGTTGAGCTCTGTAACAATTATTTTCATA